CTCATTTATCGATTATCTTGTTATCCTACATTTCACATTTATGACAACAGTAAAAAACTATTGTTTTGTGCAATGTTGATGTATATCTGGCAGTAATAAGTGCTGAGATGTAAGGCAAGAATAATGCTGGCTGTGATGGTTAAGGTTATATGTCTACTTGACTGGGTCATTATTCTCAGTGATTTGGCAGTTATGTAATGATGTAATCTGGCAGTTGTACAATGATGTAATTTGGAAGTTATGTAATGGTACAGTTATCCTCCATTTTCACATAACACCAATTTTCACATAATACCCTTGTCTTTGGAACCTAACCATGACAGTAAGTGACAATGGGATATATATATATAATATGCCATCTGTGATTAATGCCACTTTTGTATCTTCCTTTCTAATTCTTACACATTTTAGTTCTCTTCTTACCTTTCACTACTAGGACCTCCAGTACATTGATTACTAATAGTGATGACATGGCATCTTTATTTCTACCCTGATATCAGAGGAAACGCTTTCAGTATTTCACTATTATCTATAAGTCTAGCTGTTGATTTTTAGTAAATATCCTGCAAATATATCCTGTTAGATATATTTAGAATTTTTCTATTTCTAGTTTGCTAAGAGTTTCTATTGTGTGTTGGTATTAAAATTGATTAAATACTTTATATTGCTGCACTGGGCTTACTAACATTTTGTCTAGAATTTTTGTATTACTGTTTATGAGCAGAATTGGCCTATAACTCTCCTTTCTTGTCCTTGTAAAGTTTTGAGATGAAGATAATGTTGGCTTAATAGAATTGAGCTGTAACTGATCACTATTTTTTCTAGTCTCTGCAAATGTTTATGTAAGGGAAGTGTTGGTTTTATCCTTAAATGTTTAGTACAAGTCACAGGTGAATCTACCTAGAGCTTGAAGTTCTTTTGTACGATGAGTTTTAAGTATCACTAGTTTAAATAGAGACAGGACTATTAACATTTTCTATTTCTTCTTGTGTCTTTTTTAATAAGTTGTGCTTTTCTTAGAATTCTCATTTTATATAATTGCACAATTTTTTTTTTTTGTATAGAATTGTTTATAATACCTAACTTTTTAATATCTGTAGTATATATTCTTTTTATTCCTAATACTGGTTATTTGTTCTTTCTCTCTTTTTTTCTTAACCTGTCTTGTTAGTTATTTGTCCATTTTCTTTCTTCAGTGTTTCAATGCTTACTGATTCCTTTCTATTATATTTTTTTCTCTTTCTTTATTTCTGCCCTTATGTTTCTTATTTCTGTTTTCCCACCTAAGTTTAATTTGCTGGGTTAATTTGTGTGTGTGTGTGTGTGTGTTTTCCTGATTGAAATGAGTGCTTGCATCATTGATATTTATGTTATTTTCTTCGCTGATTATAATTAAGACTATAAATTTCCCTTTAAGCAGGATTTAGTGGCATTCCCATAAGTTTTAAAATGGCATAATTTCATCAAGTTTAAAATAAATTTTCCTTTTTATAAAAACACTATCTGTTTAATGCCCTAAACTTGGAAATCAGAATAGTACAGTGGGAGAAACAAAACACCTGTGCTTGTTGTTAGTTGCCATTGAGTTGATTCCTACTCCAAGCGACCCCATGTGTGCAAAGTAGAATTGCTTCATAGGATTTTTAAGGATGTGACCTTTCAGAAGCAAATTGTCAGGTCTGTGTTCCAAAGCACCTCTGGGTGAGTTTGAACCACCAACCTTTCGGCTAGTAGTTATGCACTTAACCATTTGCACCACTCAGGGACTCTTATACCACCTAAACATAGCCGCTGTGAAATCCTGGGTTATGGCCTTCCAATGTTTTTTAATGTACATTTCAGTTTTTCATTAGAAAACATACACATACACGTACAAATATACACGTGTCTAACAGTATCATATATTTATCATTTATAACATTTTTTGCCACCCTTGCCTTTTTAAATTACTATTTTATAGTCTTTTTTAAAAAATTGATCAATAGTGTAACAATTCGTGACAGAGGATCAGTGTATATTATAATCTTACCACTTACAAAGAAAAATGAACCAGAGTATAAAACTGGTAATTGGCTAGATAGACTGTAAAAGCATACAAAGAAGAAAGATACTCATTAAGAAGCTAGAAAATAAATAAGAGAAGAGCTCCCAATATTATTATTAGTGGATAATAAGGATGTACACCTCCCTTCCCCCCACGAATGATCTGTAGCATCAGTTCCCAAATGGGTTTACTTTGGATCATAAATTACTCTGTGGCTTGCTTTTCTCTAGATCACTGAAGTCAAGCATAGACTTCTTGAGTCGATACTAATGAGAAGAAATTTATTTATTTATTTTTTTAACTGAACCTTGAAAAAAAAAGTGTATTTCATAAACAGTGGTTATTTTTTGAACATTAGTATTTTAAAAGCAGCTGAATGGTCAGGTACCAGAAGATGTTTATGAATCAGTTTTGGTCTTTCAGCTATACTTAATCAAATCTTTAATATTTATTAACACTTTCAAATAAAATTTTTAAATACTGTAAGCAAAATTCCAGTGGTGACTGAGGAGATAAAATAATACTAATCATAGATTAGACAGTAATATTATATAGTGCATTTTATGAGTAGTAGTGTTAGCTTCATGCAAAGTTCAACGTAGCAGTAAGTTTAATAGATATGGTTGTCAAGTGTATCAAGAGAAAAAAGAGCTCTCATTCAAAAAAGGATAGTGATATTTTTCCACCATTTCCAGAGCATAGTAACAAAGGAAGAAGTAGCTTTTCTGAACACAGCACACAGAACATTATAACAGGTAGAGTTCTTATCTTAGGCACATTTGATCTAGTGACTACCTGGAGCTCTCTGTTATAAAGCATTATTGATGCTCTTAAGGAAACTCTGCTGAAATTTGAAAGCTATGTTGAAGAACTCCAATATGGAAGATAAACTAGATGTTGTGGCTAATTCTAGAGGACAAGATTAAAGTCCTTGAATAGAAATATAGGGAAACAGGTTTTTATTCAATATAATTGTTCTGATTACCTAGTGCCGCTCTGACAAGAAGAAACCACAAATGGGATGGCCTTAACAAACAGGAGTTTATTCTCTTAGAGTTGGAGACTTTAAGTCCAAGATCAAAGTGCCAGGCTCTAAGGGTTGGGCGAAAGCCCCTCAACCAGTTCTGCCTCCTGCTCCTGGCCCACTGGAGCTAGAGGCATTTCTTCACTCAGACAGCTGCTGGCTGCTGAGGCTGACAAACCCAAGGTTGACAAGTAAAAAGGCACACTCCGGATGTTACCAAACCACATGGCAGGCCATTAATTTAAGTCCATTGTAAGTCCCAAGGTTGGCAGAGCATGGCAGGCTGCTGAACCATGACACGGCTACACGCAGGATCCAAGCGTGCTGTAAGCTAGAGACCATTCCCCAAGGCTTCTCCTTATATACAGGAAGCAGACCACATCCCTAAGGCAGCTACTCAGCTGCTCACAGTAGATTCTACCATGGAGTTGATTACCAGTCTCATCATGAGGAATACTACATGCAGCTGCCCAGCCACTCAACCAGGCCCAGCCAAGCTGACACACAAATTGAACTACCACAATAATGAACTCTTGTTTTTATACAATGTTTCAAAAATTTCATATTTAATCTTGATTTTTCATACTAATCTTTGATGGGTGGTAGTGTGCAGCTCAGAAAAATATAACAAGAACGTGTCAAAAGTGAGAATTGTCTGAAAATCAAACCATTTCACGGCACAATAACAAGTGTTGCAGTTCTATATCTGTTCAAGCAGAGGCCTGACAGCCATGTGCTGACTATGACACAAAAGGATGTGGTGTTGCTTACATCTGTGTTCTTAATTGGTGTACATACCACCAACAGTATGTAGACATGGTTTAGATGTAGTGTACAATTTTTATAATTATTTTCTTTCAATGTCTTATCTGCCCTCAAGTTTTATGTGCCAGGTATTCATTTGAGACTTTCTTGTTATTCCAAGAGTAACCATATGCACTGGGTCTTTCTCCTTATGACTGATTTTTGAGTTGGGGTTACCTACTGTGCTTCTTCCCTACTCTCTCCTTTCTGGCCACCTATTTCTGTGGTATGCTACAACTGACTCCTGTCATCTCAGGAGAATCAGTTGTACGTATCTCTTCCCACTCAGTAATAATCACATTGGTAGTTTGAAATCTGCTGTGGTGGGAGTGTTGACATTGGGGAAATTGACACAGGCTATAATTGGGGCCTCCTTGTTACCCAGAGCTTGTTATTAGCTCTTCACCAGCACACCATTGATAAATTTAATTTTATATACCAACCTTTGCTAACCTAGAACCTGAACTTTATCTTTCATGTGAGCTGTTGCTAATTCAGTTGGGCAGTCATCATTATGTATTTATTCTCACTCATACACGTAATTCTTGTTGTTATGTGCTGTCGAGTTGGACCTGACTCATAGCAACCCCTCCTTGGGTTTGTGAGGCGGTATCACTATGGAAGTAGATTGCCCAGCCTTCTTCCGAGGAGTGGCTGGTGGGTTTGAACCGCCAGGCTTCTGGTTAGCAGTCAAGTGCCTTAGGCACTACACTACTAGAGCTCCTAAGTAATTCTTAGGTGGTATCAAAATAAATTTTAAAAAACCTAAGATTGATATTTTGTTCTGTTTTCTCACCACGACCATAGGAATGAAATATCACTCCCAATAAAACTGTAACAACTTTTATACCCTTAAAAACACACTCTAAATTTTAACAACTATGACTGTACATATACTTATACCTGCCTTTCTTAGAAAAAAAAGGTAGCTTTTAGTTTGTATTATGGTTAGTTCCAGTATCTTTGATAGTGTAATTAGTGTGAGGTAAGGTTGAAAATACTGAAGTAGATATTTGAGATTCCTTTTCTGCTAGAAACATAAGATTCTAGTGGAAAATTTACGTAACTGAACATGTTTGTTATGGTTCATTTTAGTGAAACTTGTTGTACTTTATTTTTCTTTTATAGATGAGGATCTTCATGATCAACCAAAGAGAAAAAGATTTAGAAAGCATAAATCAAAGAAAAATTTAAAACTTCCTAAGAGTGCCCATGTAGAACAAGCAGAATTAGAGAAACAGCAGCGTCTTTTACAAGAAAAAATACAGCCACAGTACACAGATGGCCCCACAATAAGCAAAAATAAAAAAAGGAAACTGAAAAAGAAGCAGCAGATTAAAAAGAAGAAAGCAGCTGGCTTACTAACAAAAGCCCCTGGCATCAATTTCATGTACCAGCCTGAGGAGAGCAACAGTGAACAAGAGGAATTAAGAAATACTGATGAAGAAGATGCTAAAGACACCAACAAGGAAGACGTTAAAGATACCAGTGAGGAAGATGTTAACGACACCAATGAGGAAGACGTTAAAAGTATCAATGAAAAGGCAGATGGTATCCTAAACTTCTTGAAGTCAACACAGGAAATTTATTTTTATGATAGTATGTGTTTTCCTTAATTTTTCTTTTGAATATTCTTTTAAAAATTTGAAAAAATAATACAGTAAAATGTTTAATGTTTGAGATATAAAATATATTAAAATATTCAAAATAGTTCAGAGATAAAAGTTGGAGTACTTTAATTCTTTCTACGAAAGATCTAGATTAATACATTGCTCAAATTCATGTCAAAAGAAATAGAATATAACCAACCTCAGTAAAATTGTAAATTCAAACATGAGTTGGTCTCATGATAAATTTATTTCTATAAAATCAAATATTGGCGGTTCAAACCCACCAGCCACTCCTTGGAAGGAAAACTGGGCACTCTGTTTCCGTAGTGATACCACTTCGGAAACCCTAGGAGGGGGTCCGATGAGTTGGATCCAACTCAGCAGCAGTGAGTTTTGAGTTTTGAGAAACCCTGTGGAACAGTTCTGGGAGCTCTGGTAGCGTAGTGCCTAAGGCACTTGACTGCTAACCAGAAGTCTGGCAGTTCAAACCCACCAGCCACTCCCCAGAAGGAAGGTTGGGCAATCTACTTCCATAGTGATACTGCCTCAGAAACCCAAGGAGGGGTCGCTGTTAGTCAGGTCCGACTCGATGGCACATAACAATAGCAAAAACATGGGACAGTTCTACTCTGTCCTATAGGGTCACTATGAATCAGAATCAACTTGATGGCAATGGGTTTGGTATTTTTGGTTTATAGAAAATACTGAAGCTATCAGATAAGAAATTTAAAATAGCACTGGTGGCTTAGTGCCTAAGGCATTTGACTGCTAACCTGAAGGCTGACAGTTCAAACCCACCAGCTGCTCCTTGGTAGAAAGGTTGGGCAATCTACTTCTGTAGTGATAAGGCCTCAGAAACCCAAGGAGAAGTCGCTATGAGTAGAATCTGATTTGACAGCAGTGGGTATGGGTAGATGTTCAAGAAAATAGGGAGAACATGGAGAAATAATGAAAAATTGCAAAACCAATCATAAGGAAAAATCTTAAAAAGCAACCAAAGAAAGTAAGATACATTATTTTTACAGGAGCAGCAATGAGCTCCTCTACTTTCCAAAGTTCTTTTTTGTTTATCTCTTATGATAGCTTTTTGTAACCCAAACATCTCATTCTAAGTAGAAACATTTGTTTGAGGCTTTCCTTAAGAGATGAAAACTTTAGTTTATTTAATAAAAAACAAAAAACTAAAATTTATATTTCTAAGCAAAACTAACTTTGTTTAGGTATCTCCAAAGATTCCGATTCAGCTGTTTTTATGGAAGCCACCGAAGAGCTGTTTAAACATCTTGAATCTCACAGTGTGTCTCCCTCAGATGTGTTCATCCTGGATCACATGAAAGCGCTGTTACTTTTGCAGGATACTGAAAGATTGAAGAGTGCTCTGGAAATGTTCCCAGAACATTGCATGATGCCTCTTGGTATGTACTGTACTGCCTGAGATACTCTTGTCAAGGTTTACCCTCTACCAAAACAGTAATGAGTCAAAAAATATAACAATGCACATATGGCTTGGAAGAATAGAGTCCCACAGAGGAATATGGCTGTGTCTCTGCTTGATATAAAAATATATCACATATTATATGCAGAAATGTATGTGCAGTCTAATTTTGCAGCTTTGTAAGCAATGAACTCTCAGTGCCAAATTTTCATAAGCATAAATGGAAATGGGAGAATTCATTTCTTCCCCTGTTTTACTTCTCCTCTGCTAGATTGATACAACATACAATTTTTCTTTCTTCTAAGCATCTTGGTATGAACTTATTGAACCCTTCCAGTTAGCAAGTTGGATTATGATGATTTTTCTTTTGTTTACTTACTCAGCCTTTATTGGGTACCCATTCTGTGCAAACAGTACTTTACTAGAGCTGGCTACTAGCCAGTTGTACTCATGTCCTCCCAACTCCATGTTCAATGACATCACATTGGTGCCTGGAAATAAACCATGGTGGGACACCAATAATAAGGCTAAAAATAATCATATTGAATACTTACTATAGCTTAGACCAAGGTGGTGGTAGTAGTGGGGATAGTAAAGTACGGTCAAGTTCTAGACCTATTTTGTAGGTAGATTTGATAGAATTTTCTCACAAACCAGGTGTGGGATATAACAGGAAGAGACACATTTTTGGCCTGAGCAATTCAACGATTAAATATCTAGTTGTGAGGTAGGAAAGACTGCTAGAGGGAGCAGGTTGGGAGGAGGGACATATCAGGAGCTCAATTTTGGATAGGTAAAGTTTGAGATACTTGTTAGATAAATGTCAAGGTAGAAAAGTCATTGATAACCTTAACAGAGCAGTGTTGCTGGGGGGCAAAAGTTTTATTACAGTGGATGCAAAAGAGAGAATAGGAGAAGAGAAATTCAAGACTGTGAACAAAGACAATCCTTTCAAAAACGTTTGCTGTGAGGGAAGATAAAGTGCAGTCAAGAGATGGGAGAAATAGCAGCATATTGGCTGCTGATAGCATGGATCCTGTAAGAAGGGAAAACAAATGATGTAGGAGCAATGGGAGAGTTCCTGAGGCAGCATTACTCTGTTGAAAATGGAAGTTGGAGCTTTTCAGGTTATATTAATAAGTTACTCTAAAAGATCATTAACTCTAGTAATCTAGTACTGTTTAGTTTTTGTCAGTGGGCAAAGCTACTGGGCAATCTACTTCGCAGAGATACTGTGTTGGAAATCCAAAGAGGGGTTGCTATGAGTCGGGTCCAACTTGACAGTAGTGAGTTTGGTTTTTGGTTTATAATAGAATTTTAGCTTAAACTGGGCAAAATCCAGTTAGTTAAACTGATGAGATATTTATGAAACAGGAAAATAAATCATTTGAAATTTTAAATAAAAAAAAAAAAGTTATTGTGTTCCTCATACAAGTTTTTTTTTACACTAGAGTTCCAGATAGTCAAGAGACTCTTTGGGAGCTGTTGGGAATTTAATAAAAATGTTCTCTCGGTTTCATGTATTAAATTCACTAGACTAGTTTTGACCACAATTACTTCAAGCAGTTCTGTAAAAATGAATGTGCATGTAGGATATGCATTTAAATTTTTCCTATGTCAAGTTATTTTGTAAAATAAAATTTTGTAAATGGTGACACTGTATTTTCAAATATTGAATATGTCTTATGCCCAGTTTCACTTACATGGCTTTCTGAAATTAAGCTTTCTTTTTCATAAAACTAATTTATAAAATTTAATTGGTAGGTATATCTTTCATGTCTATAGGATAAGCATGAAAATAATAGCATTTTAAAGGAAGGTATAGAGTTTTTTCTACCTATTGTAACTCTTTTTCCTTCTTTGCTGAATCAGAAATTATTTTTCATAAATTATAGATGTTTTATTTGACTAGGATATAGCTTTTCAAAAGTTAAGTTCATGTGTTTTTATACTGTTAGGATACAGTTGGTGTTCAGTAAATGGATCTCACATTTATAATATTTTATCTTATGTATAATATGGGAGCTCTGGTAGCATAATGGCTAAGGCATTTGACTGCTAACCAGAAGGCTGGCGGTTCAAACCCACCAGCCACTCCTCGGAAGGAAGATGGGGCAATCTACTTCCATAGTGATACCGCCTCGGAAACCCAAGGAGGGGTCGCTATGAGTTGAGTCTGACTCAATGGCACATAACAACAACAACACAACATGTATAATATATACTATCATAATAATAAGTCCCATTTATTGAATTCTTAGCACGCTTCACACAGTCTGAAGGTACTCTACCTGTTCCCTCAGTTAATCTTGAGTGAGACAAATGGCTTGCACTTCCCTTGTAACCAAAAGCTTGGTTAGGACCAGTGGTGCCATGGAAGAAAGGCCTGGCAGTCTGCTTCTTCAATAAAGATTACAGCCAAGAAAACTGTATGGAACAGTTCTATTCCACAGCACACAGAGTCACCATGAGATGAAACTGAGTGGATTGCAATGGATTTGTTTTTGGTTTGTTATATAAATTTTTTATTACCCACATTTTGAGGAATCAGAGGCTTACTAAGGGTAGGTAACTTGCCTTTGGGCACAATTCAGTCTACTTTAGAAGAATCTCTGGGGTCCACTTCTCTTTGGATCCTCCCAAACTCCTGCCTGGCAGCTTAGAGCCCAGGAGTTGGCAGCTGTTCAGGTGTCTCCTAGCCATTGTCCAGCTCTGTGGATCCAGTGTATCTTGAAAATGAAACTTTAGCATCAGCAGCAATAGACGAATTCCCTGAGGGCAAATCCTAGGATCTGAAAACTGGGAAAAGTTGTGGATTAATTTTGCTCTCTTTTCTTTTAGTACTTACTGTGTGCTCTCTATGATTAATAACGTTAGAAATAGTGGAAGTCCATTATAAACTGAATTTTAGGTGACAGGATTTGAGTAGTATCTTTACAAGTTATGTAAAGCCTGACATTTGAGGTGAATCTTTATTCACAGCTATAATTCTCCCATGAAACAATAAAAGGGTTGGCAGGTGATGTCAAAGACAAACTGTCTACTTGATAGTTTGCATTTGGCTACTCCTGGCATGGGAGCTCTGGTAGCATACTGGCTAAAGCACTTGACTGCTAACCAGAAGGCTGGCGGTTCAAACCC